AAGGATAGCCTTTACAGAAGTGCTATTTTATAGTAGGAGTGCTGGTAAAATAGTTCCATTCACAAGTATCGAAACTAGCATTTCAAGATGACTCATTGTCCTGATTCAACCTGCTTTTTAGGTTCAACTTACTGGTTTTACTGCTGGCCTGTTCAGTTGCTGACAATTTCGTAGATAAGAGTTTGTTTATCTTCTTCTGTTGCTGACAGTTCCTGTTTTTTAGTGAGTGGGCCTGATTAGTCTTGCCTACTTAGATTATTTGTTAATTGTTGCTATTCAGGTATGTATTTCATCAACTAAATCTTGATTGCCTGATTTAAAAAAGGAATAGGAGTGGTTCAGCTGTTTTTTGATATGAGAGTGAAATATTATACTTTTTCGAAAAATACTGCCTTTCTCTAAGAAAGCAATTGCAGCGTGAAATTTGAGGGAGGTATAGGGCACACATGCTTTTTGGTTACTTAATAGAAAAGTAGATGATTTTCATTTGATTGCCTTAGTGGCTTCAAAAACTTGCTCACTGATTTATGATCTGAAAAAAATGTGCATGAACACTATAGTTGTGGCATGGGTTTCCAACTGAGCTGAAAAGAATTTTTTTTAGTGTGTAGGTGCATGAAGAATGTGATCTCTTTTGTGGTGGGTGCTGCCTCCTTCTCTGTGGATTCTCATTTGCTGAACAGAAGGAGACCGATTGCTGCAAGTGTGGCAGCGCACACAGAACTGTTGCATGAACAGGCAGTGCTGTACGCTGTATTTCTGTATTCTGTCATTGTACGTGATGATTTTTTGTCTCTGAATATTTTAAATTATTGTAAAGGTAGCTTGAGGCCGGGGGGGGGGGTAGTGTTAAATATTGATTGTTGCATCTTTCTACCTAAAACTGAGGGTCTCGTGGGTTATTCCACTGAGGAAGATAATGTGGTGATTATGTCAGATACCTTCAATACAGTTATGTTTATTTACAAAAATATATAAAACTGTATCACCGTAAGTACAGAAGGGATACACAAGTCTTCATCTGGTGCTTGTTCTGGTTGTGCTGGTCTTTCACAACAGGACTCGCCTGAAGACCCTTCCACATTTCTCAGTGGACCTTGCCCACATTCCTCCATACCTTGGCCTGAAGCAGCCAAATGTATATCCGTGTTTGAAGTCTGATACCGTATTTAGTTACCTGCTCCCATGGGGTTACCTGACTTTTCACAACAATACATCGAGGCTGCGTCCAGCAACTTCAGGTTGGTTTCGCCTGTCTTCAGCAATGAGAAGAACTAGTACGTATTGCATTAAGACCCAGCCATAATGCAATGCCAAGAGCATCCTGTAAACGTTTTCCCGGGATGTCAGCAGTACCAGCACACTGGCACTAGGGACCACGTCCCACATAAAAAGGCTTTGGTTGACAATTCAGCTGAAGTGCAATGTCAACAACTCTGTCAGGCTGCACAGAGGCATTTTGCCCGACAGAGTGACAACACTGACTGCATACGCACCTTGGAGACTGGCCGTGGCCTCAAGATAGCCCCCTCCCATGTGAGCAAAACGGGTATCGACCGCCCTCCCCTCCCAAACATGAGGGCTTCCCTCAGTCTTCCTGAGTGAGCTGTTACTGCCAGCCCTGCGCTTTGGGGTAATACGCCTCCAGATTTGACCCCATATTTCCCGTATCTGTAATTTTCTACAGCTAATTTACTTAATACTGGAGTCTGACCGGTGGGAATTGAGTGTCGCTGCGGTTTCGTTCACCTCCCCTGGCTGGATAAGCCCCCGTGGCTCCCAGCCCACCATTTTCCAGCGGGAATAAAGACACCCGCGGGAATAGCGCGCACGTTTCGGGTCCTTGCCGGCAGGCTCCGGGGGAGCGACAGGCGGGGACAAGCGGGGACAGGCAGGGGCGCCGGGGGCGCCGG